GGAAGGGAAACTGGAATAGTGGCTCTCAAATTTTGCCAAACAACAGAATCGCTTGAAGAGCTTGTTTTAAAGTCCTGCTGCCCAGATAGTCCCTATCACATACTAATTAAATCAGAATATCTGGGGGTATAACCCAGGAATTAGCCAAGTTTGAGAACAGTGTAGCCAAGTTTGAGAACAGTGAATTACAAGGTTTTTATTGTTGTTGTTTAAAAAAATATTAGAATGTTAACAAGAGAGAAAAGATCAAGTGATATGCCTTGAGGGGAGGAGCCTTTTTTAAGACAGTAGCATGTGAGCTGTGAGGTTTGGGCAAATGGTTTGCAGAGGCAAAGAAAGATATCATTTACTCTCAAAGAGTGTTAACAAGACAAAGTACTTCAGAGACGATCAAACCCAGCTTCTGACAGTTGCAGAGACTCAGAAAGAGAGAGGTAGCATTTGCTCAAGATGGCATACCAAGTCAGGGGCAGACCCAGATTAGAGTTTAAGTCTCCTAATACAAGGTGGGACTCCTGTCACAGCACAAGGTGCAAGGTGGCGTGTGTGTGTGTGTGTGCGCCTGTGTATAGGTATGCACATGTGTAAGCACACAGTACATGCATGTGAAGATTTTCACAATGGGATATCTAACATTCTTTCATTTGATTATGTTCAAATATCACACACCTTCTAATCTGCCACATCCTACTGCAGAAGTAATTCCCCAGGTTTTTCAAACCTAGAACAATTGACATTAATATTTTCAATCTGGTGTGTGGGGAAGAAGAATTTGTATTATTGTCTTTTTTTCAATCTCTGCCAATGAGCTGAGCAAACGAGTAGGATCTAGGGAGACAGCATTTGCTATGAAATACTCTGGGATACTCAGCATTTTTGCATGTGTTGTAACAGGCCAACAGATATTCTGCCTAAAATCCCAACTTCAAGCCAAGATACATTGTAAAGAAACAAGAATTGGTTCATTTGGAGTCTAATTAGTATGTTTCACTGCTGGAACACAGCTAAAGCACAATCACTCTTTACTATCTCCCTCCGTAGCTTGTTCCAGAGAAAACAAATCCAGAAGTGATGTTTGCTCATTGTCTGTGGTCAGGTCAGGACAACCTTCAACAGAGAAGTATGAGCAGAACCTTCAGTCAGGCAGATGTTCATGCTGAGACACAGCCAGGTAAAAATACAAAAGGGCCAACAAAGGAAGGGGCTCCTAAGGAAGAATTCTTCAGCCCTTCACCGGTGCTATGCAGAAAAGCTAGCACAGCCTGCACGAGTGAGGGGTAAATGAAGGAATGATGGAAGCAGAGACAAGCACCTCCCTTAGCCCAGTGCCAGGCCCTCAACTCCTGCCTCAAATCAGAAAACAATAGAGGTCTGGCCATTTCAGATGGGAAATACTACCTATGAGAAGAAAAGAGAAGAAGGACAGACTCACAGATGGTTACGCAGGCAGTGATACACAAATTAGGAAATGCAACCATAGGTTTGGATTTCCCTAGAATGTGAAGTAATATGATAAACGGAGCTCATGTAATGAAGGTTTGTGTGAGATGTATGTGCCTGATGGTGGCAAGTGGGCGTTTTGCAGGAATGAAACAAATGAGATTTGAATTAAGTTTTACGAAGAGAATCTAAAGATGGTTATAAAGACTCTGAATGTGAAGAAGGATTTCCTTTGGGGCTGGATAGTCTGTGTCAGGACTTTACCCGTGTGTGTGTGAGTGTGTGTGTGTGTGTGTGAGTGTGTGTGTGTGTGTGTGTGAGAAGTGCCATCGACTGGGTTTCCTTCATAGAGGTAAGCTCATTATCAACCTGGAGGACTTGTCCAGCCTCAGGGAAGTCAAGTTTCCTCAGCAAGGATCTCTGCTGAGTAGCCAGACCTTCCTCATTTTCTTTTTGCTTCTCACACAGTCTGACTTCCCCTGAGAAGAAAAGCACCCCAAATACCCTGATATGCACAAGGACACTCTAAAGTCATGGGAATTCTATTTAGAGGCCAGATCAGTCAGCTCAAGCTGAATAGGAAGGTTCAGAGAAACCTCTTCCCATAGGATCCCTAGACCACAGAGATGGTCTCCTCTCTGACCAGGGCCAGGAGTATGTCTACATGTCAGGGAGGGCATGAGTGGAGATGGGCATTTGATGACCGACTTCTCCATAGAGCGTCTTCTTCCAACCCTTGGTCTCAATTTCCCTTAACTGACCAGACAGAGCAGAACTCTGGTGAGGAGGGCTCAGAGGAAAAGACCGTGCTAGCACCTGAGGGAACTGGACTATGGTTCCCAGGGTACAGGCGTAGTAGACATTCTGCCAGGCAGCCTGTGGCTGCTTATCTTTAGAACAGGAGTTCTTAACCAAGAGGGTCCTGGAGATTGATTTGTGATTCAGAGAAATCAAAAGGATCAAAGACCCTAGAAATACTGGCTCTTCACTTCTGGGGAAAACTAAAGGAGAGTTCAAGTCTGTCCAGGGGGTGAGGGGAATAGTCTGGGGTATGGTCCTTCCACAGCCCCCAACTCACCCCCCTCCCAGGAACCGAAGGAAGCCCAAGGGATGGAAACCTACATGAGAAAGAGAGGAGCCAAACGGGACGCTTGGGCGGTTCTGATGAAGAGGACGGGAAATCTGATGAAAATGAAGCCAGATAAACCAGAAACACCAGCTCCAAGTGGCCCAACCACCTCTTCCAGCTAGGATGCCGCTGGGGAAACTGACCCCTTTTGGGAACCTCCCCAGAAGCTGAAGGTAGAGGGTACACGCCTACAGGGTAAGTCCTTGTAGAATTCTGTTTCTGGAGAGGTATGAGTTGGTCATCAATGTCAACCCTCACCTTGTTGAAGCCCCTTGGGGTGGAGAAGCAAAAAGGGAACTAAAGAGATTCCATCAGATAAATGGAAAGACAAAGGCTCAAAACAGAGCACCTCACAAGGACAGATGGGTGTTTGGGGAATCTGAAGCCAGTCTGAGACATTTCTGGAGTTATGAGATAGGACCTCAGGCTAGCGATGGAGTGGGAGGGGAAGGGGACAGGTAAGGGTTGTTCATGGGAGAGAGTAGGTTGGTTTGATCTGTGCTTTCTGGGTGACAGCCAGAAATGGGGGCACTTGTTATTCCAAACCCACTTCTAAAAAAGGCTTGTAAGCAACTACCAAGGCACAACACAAAAGGGAAGGAGACAAATGCTCTGGGGCTATATGACCTTCAGTGGAAATATGGAGTGAGGTTAGCCGGGAGCCCAGGAAGAACAAAGAACACACACAAAGAGACACCTTCAGGAGTCTCTTTCCTCATGACTCCACTACTGTCACCTCTCACAAGGGACTTATTCAATAAATAAGTCTTAGTTGACCTGTACTCCTGGTATGGTGCTGGAGGATCAGCACTGGACTGAGAACCACAAGAACGGTATTTCAAACCCACCGGCTGTTCCTTGGCAACCCTATGTGTCGGACCCATCTGGACTGCATTTAACAACAACTGTGTACACAAGGGGTGGCCATGAATTGTTAGCAACTTGATGGCCACTAACAACAACACTTCATAGTCAGCAAAGTCTTTAGTATCATACTAAACTCAGCTGAACTTAAAATATGATATTAATATAAAAATAATAACATTTGAAAAACAAGTAGAACTCAAAATTTTACTCATTTGTGTGTAATTCTTTTGGTGAATTCTTTGTACTAAAATTACTGGTTCTAAAAAAATCCCTACAAATACCTTTGTCAGGTTCTGTATCACCTCCCCTAGTTTTGGCGTTCCTGTCCTGGTGTGGCACTAGGATAAGCAAGCACTGAACTGCTAATCACAAGGTTAGTGGTTCAAACGTACTAGTAGCTCTTCAGAAACCCTATACAGGGTCGTTACGAGTCCGAATAGACATTTCTCTCAGTCATTCCCAGTCTGGAGGCCTTGGTACCCACAGAGGCTGCATACAACCCATGGGGATGAGGCCCTGCATCCAGTCTTGGAAAAGTGCCCTTGAGGACCCTTAGGGATCCTGCCAAGGTCCAATGGGATCCCCAGCACTGCCACCTCCATTCCCTCCTCTCTGCTTAAAACGCTTGTTGCTACTTAAGGTAGATGGGGTAAGGGAAGTCGGTGGGAAAGAGGGTTTCTGGGTTAGCTACCAAGGAAGGAGCTCCCTAGTCCCAACCTGACCTTCGACCAACTGACTTGCCTCCTCCAGGATGAGGCTCCCACTGATGTGCCTTGGGGCTCCGGAGGACTCTCCCAGTTCCCAGCCACCTCCTCGTCCCACAGCGTCTCTCCTTGGCCCGCACTTTGGCCTCAGTGACCCTCGATGCCACGCCCTGCCGCCACGCACAGGCCCCACGGGGACTGGGATCCCGCCTGACCAAGGGGGCATTAGAACGCAAAGCCCGGGAAGGAGAGGGTAAGTAGGCACACAACTTCAGCCAGCGCTGGGGCGGATAGGTGGGATAGGACGCCGTACTGGTCCCCCTTCCTTCCTAAGTCCCCATCCTCCCTCAGATTGGAGCAACTCTTGGGGAAACAAAGTGGCCCCGGCTCCTAAATGACGCTGCGGGGAATCCTGTTTCCGGTGCGCTGGAGAGCCACCTACTACTTCGCGCTCAGTGGCGCACCGCCGAGCAGGCAAGCGGGGCTGGGCTGCGCTCCACTTGCTGAGAAGCGCCCCGAGTTCGGCTGCGAGCACTATCATGCTCCGGCCGGTATCCTCTGGGGCGCCAGCAGACCCGGGGCGCGCGCGGGCGCCGGGCGTTACCTCGGTTGGAGTAGTTCAGGGTGGACGACTGCGAAGACTTGGGCTTCTGCCGCTTGACGGTCATCATCACTTGCTCTTGTACGCGCTGCCTGCCCGACGTGCCTGTCTTCATCTTTTGGTCCGACGGCAAAGCTAACGTCGAGTTGTCCTGGTCCTGAAAGCATTCGTATGCCAAGGCGGTCTTGAGCGGCGAGTGGTTCATGGTGGCGGGAGGCGCGCGCAGGCCGGGCCTGGAGGAGCGGGGAGACACGGGAGGTTAGGTGTAACCGGCGCGGCGGACGGGCTGGCGGAGCGTGTTCTTCTCTCTCTCAGCGGCTCCCTATGGCCATAGAATGAGTGGTCCGCGTGAGGGCTCCCGGCAGCTGCTGCTGGCGCCTCCACCCCGGCTCGTCCCTCTCCTGGCACTGGCGAGGCCCGCCCTCCGTCAGACTGGATATACCACCACTGCCTTGCACCACCCACTCCACTGGGCCGCGCGCCCGCCGCCGCTCATACGCGGAGCTGCAGGGCACTGCCGCTGCGGGAGCGAGCGCTCCGGAGGGATGGGGGCGTGCAGGACTGCGCAGCCTCTTCCTTCAGCTCCCAGCCCTATCCCAAGGATGTGTAGGAAACATCTAAGGCGATGAGGGTCCAGGTGGGACATCCCTCCATTCCATTCTGCACAGTTCAGGACCAAAAGAGACCCCTCCCTAGGACAAGGGATTCAGTAGCAAGAAGCCGCCTCCCCTTGCCCCTTCCCCTCCCCCCTACAACACACACGGAAGTGCTAAAGACCAGCTCTGTTGTTGGGGCCACCCAAACTAATGGCAGAAGCACAGTCCTTGCTCAAAGGGAGTGCCCAATCTTAGGAAGACAACCCATTTTCCTCTAAGACAGCCTCTATCCAGTCTGAAGGGAGTCAGGTGGGGGGCATGAAACCCACACCAAAGACTTGGATATTGTTGTTGTTGTGAAGTTGTTAAATGTGAAGTCAGTTCAGACTCACAGCAACCCTGTATAGGGTTTCCGAGGAGCAGTTGGTGAGTTTGAACTGCCAACCTTGCAGTGCTTACCCTACAGAATCACACCAGGACTCTATAGACTTGGGATACAAAATCACAAAGTCATGTACAGCAGGTGTGGGTATGATCAGGAATAAAACCTTGCTAGCAGTAGATTCTCTTTGAAACATTCTTAAATTTTATTTTAATAATGTTTTTTGAATGAGTTAAGGAATATTAGCTAATTTAAGGCAAATTAAGTTTGGCTTGAATCCTAACTAGATCCTTACTGAAAAATTAGAAGGGTGCCTTATCCATAGAATACCCTATTGTGGATATATTATTTTGGAACTATTGCTGTTAGTTGTCATTGAGTTGATTCTGGTGGACCCATGTGTGTAGAGTAGAGAAACTGCTTCATAGGATTTTCAAGATTGTGATCTTTTAGAAGCAGATCACCAAATCTGTCTTCTGAGGCAACTCTGGGTGGGTTTGAACCACCTATATTTTGACTACTAGTTGAGCACTAATTCTTGTACCACAACAGTTCTCTTATGCACAATATCCTTGTGGTGGACACTTATGCAATGATATGCCATGTGTAGGCAACATCCTTTTCAAACATGAAAGTAACCTGTGCCAGTAAATTTAGTACCTACCAGGAGCTGAGTATATTTTTAAGCTACTTTAATGGAAATCTTTTTAAAAGGTATCACAGCCTGCCTTGCCTCTTTATGCAAGAGATACTGACCCTCCTTTGTGCATTGCTTGATGGCTCAGGTTCTTACTCTGGACATCCATTATCAGTTGCTAGTCAGTTTCGTTTTCTCAGGTCTTCTCCAGCTATGTTCTGCTCTCTGCTATCTGGTGATATAAAAGGTTAAGCGCTGGAAGAAAAGACCTGGTGTTCTGCTTCTGTAAAGATTGCAGCCAAGAAACCTGTGTGGGGCCTCTCCAATGGGGTCGCCATGAGTTGGATTCCACTTGATGATACCCAACATCACCTCTGCTATCATGTTCAGTTACTATTCATAGCTCACATGCCTTGTTTTAGTTTGCCCTCCTAATGTACAGAAGAAGGGAGGAAACAAAAATCTACGCTCCTTATGAATTCTATGTCAAGGAAAGATCAAGATGACTTCGAGGCCTGAGAGTGCTCAGGAGCCACACAAGGGATCTGAGAAGTGGGGTTACCTTCAGGGAGCCCCAGCTCTTCCCCATTCCTAGTAACCACATTTGGAGCGGATTATTGCAAAGCAGACAATAGATTTCAATAGAAATAGTTTTATAATTGAGGGTTGTGTTCCCAGGACTTCAGCATCAAATAAACCAGAGATGTGACCAACAGTAGGTCATAAATACAAAGAAGGTTCAACACCTTTAAACCACTGTCATCACATAACATTTAAATATTCTGCTTCTAGCCATGGACTGTCAGGGCTGGACAGAGCTTTGGACATTATCCAGCCAGTCTCTGCATTGTATATTGCTGAGGAGAGGAGGTGGCTGACCCACATCACCCAGTTAATATGTGGTAAAATCTCCATTCTAACCAGTCCTGGGGACTCCTAATCCAGTGCTCTTTCACCACACTATCTGACCTGCCTTATAAAAGTCCTATAAAATGGGCATTAAAGTACAGTGCATACCAATTATGTAAGAGCCTCAATGTATTATAAAGTATACAGAACAGCACATAAAAATACAACTATTATATCACATTTGGCCTATCTAAAACCTAATATGCTAGCTATAATAAATGTTAATTAAGTCTTTAAATAATGATTTTGTTTCCTTCTAGGATGTAGAAGAGCCTGAAGGAGGTGATTGGAGTAGTTCATATTGCTATAAAAGGCAAATCTAAAGAAGCAGAAACTGATTATCTTTAAAGCAGTTTCCAGGTATGAAGTCCAGTTCTTCTAGCAGCTTTTCTATTGTTTTGATATCGATATTATTTTGACATATTGATAGCAACAGTCAACATTTTCTGTGCTCTTACAATATGCCAGGAATGATTCTGGGCCGTTTACATGGACTATGTCATTCAAACCCGCAGAATGACCCTATAAAGTAGATACTATCTCCATCATCCCTCTTTTTGAGATGAGGAAACTGAGGCAAAGTAAAGTCACCCAGCTGTCTTCTCAGAGATTTCCCTGTGGCAAGCAGTGGGCTCCAAGCCTTTCTATGAATCAATCTTTGAATAGTATCATTTTCATCACATGGCATGAAAGTCAGGCCAGCTGGACTTCAGTTCCACTTGGGTCATTAACCAACTTCATGATCCAAATCTGTAAAGTGAAGGGCTAGACTCGATGATTCCCAGTCTTTTCTAGCCCTATTGTTGTTAGTTGCCATCGAGTAGATTCTAATGCATGGCAATCCCATGTACAACATAAGGAAACATTACCTGGTCTTGTGCCACCTCATGGTACATTTGGGTCCATTCTGCAGTGCGTTCTACACAATTATTGTGTATTGCCTTCCAACCCAGAGGGCTCATCTTCGTCAATATTGTCAGATTGGACAATATTCTGGTGAACCATAAGATTTTCACTGCCTAACATTCGGAAGTAGACGTCCAAGTCTTTCTTCCTACTCCGTCTCAATGTGGAAGCTTCCTTGACATTTATCTACTATGGGTGACCTTGCTAGTATTTGAAATACTGGTGGCATAGCTTCCAGGGTCATAGCAATACACATGTTACCACAATAAGCAAACTGGCACACAAGTGATAGACTATAGTCCTAATACTCTATAATTCTGATGGCAATTGTGGGAATTTATAGAGCAGGAGAATCTAGAGTCAGGTTCTCTGGACAGCATTTTCTTTGCCTCCCCTTTGTTTTCCTTACTTTCAACATCAAAGGAAAGGACATTTGGAATTGGACAGAGGGAATGTTGACTGTGTACTGAGCCATTGCTGTGCATGGTCTACATTATTTCATCTCATCTTCCCAGTAACCCTCGAGGAGGTATTAGTACCACCATTGTACAGGATGGTTATCTCTGTGGTGACCTGGATTCAACCAAGGTCTGACTTTTAATCTTAGAGGAGAACAAAGGGCAGTCACTTCACGTGGTTTTAGCCAAAGTGAGGGACATATATTTAAGATAGAAAGATTGTTTTGGGGGCTCAGGAGTATGGTTTTAAGGCAGGAAATCAGAGCTGTTTCCTTCACTTCTCTTCTGCCTGAGTCTCACCCCATGTGGGTCTCTGCCTCAGCAACAGGCTAGAGAAGAGGATAACACTCATAAAGTGAAGAACAGACGTCAACCAAGCATGTCACATGAGCTGAGTCCTGAAATGCCATACTTTCAAGACACTGTCAAAATACATATTTAGGTGGTAAAAAGTTCTAACGGGTGTAGGTTAATTTGAGTTTGAAGGTTGTGGGGAAAGCTTCCTGAAAGAAGTTAATTTTGACTCAGTTCTGAAACAAGATGAGTAGATGTTCATTCTCAAAGTCATTGGGATAAATGAATATGAATGAGCTTCTAATTCTCTTTGCTATTTTCCCTATAGCATTGTGTGACCCAGATTTTAACTCTCAAATCAATCAAGTCTCCTAGTCTTTATGAAAGTCAAACATCCTGTGACCTTAATATTCACTACAGCAAGTATTTATTGAGCATCTTAGTTCATTAGTTGGTTAGCTACTTAAGTACCATCAAGTCAGTTCCGACTCATAGTGACCCTGTATAGGGTTTCCAAGGAGCAGCTGGTGGGTTTAAACTGCCGACCTTGTGGTTCACAGTCCAGTGCTGATCCTACAGTGCTACACCAGGAGTCCTACTATATGACAAAATCCTGTTCTAAGCACTGAGGGTACAGTGGTGAAGAAGACAAAGTTTCTGTGCTATTATCGCTCCCCTCCTATAGTTGAAGGAGGAGGGGTGGGCTGAGCCAGTGAGAAGACCAGCCCTGGTGAAGGCTGAGAGGCCTCCTGGCACCCCTGTGCCTCTAAGAACGACTGAGCAGAAGCTTAATCTTGCTCCATTTCCAATCCTCCAAGTAAGGGGTTACCTCTACTTTTGCCCCAAACTTATACCGACACCCCTCAAGGTACTGAGAACAGAGAAAAGAGTAACTGCCCTACTAGGATGGTCCCTCCATATTCACCCCAGTCCCTCTGCAACTGACCCCTGTCCAGCCCTTTTGGCTAACCTGGACAACTGCTAAGGGGCCACACCCAGCTGGCAAGCCTTCTTTAGTTGAGTTCCTTTGGTTAGATAGCAGATTCCCAATGACTGCCTATCTTTGTTGTTGATAAGTGCTGTTGAGTTGGTTCTGACTCTTAGCAACTCTGCATAGGGTTTCCAAGGAGTAGCTGGTGGGTTTGAACTTGCAGTTATCAGTCCAGTGCTTTCCTATAGTGCCACACCAGTACTCCTGAACCTTATAAACTTCCCTGGTAAGCCACACTACCCCTCCCCAGTTTCTAAATACAGCAAATAATGACCAGTTGTCTTTGAGTTGGCTTCAACTCATGGTGACCTTATGTGTGTCAGAGTAAAACTGTGCTCCCCTGGGTTCTCAGGGCTTGATTTTTCTGAAGTAGATCACCAGGCCTTTTCTTTCAAGGCACCTCTTCATATCTCCAACC